CCCCGCGCACCGCCCCCGCCCGGTCCCTGCCACCGCCGCCGCCGCCGCCGCCTGCCCAGCGGCTCGAGAGGCGGAGGCGCGGGGGAGGAGGCCCCGCTTGGCTCCGCAGCCCCGGATGCTGCATGACTTCATCCTTCCGTCGGCTCCCCTGCTGAGCTAGGGCCGGTCCGGCAGCTATCCCGCCGCCGGTGCCCCGCCGCAGCCCTGCGCCCGCCATGTCCGAGATCCTGCCCTACAGCGAGGACAAGATGGGCCGCTTCGGCGCAGACCCCGAGGGCTCCGACCTTTCCTTCAGCTGCCGCCTGCAGGACACCAACTCCTTCTTCGCGGGCAACCAGGCCAAGCGACCCCCCAAGCTGGGCCAGATAGGCCGAGCCAAGCGAGGTACGCGGCCCGGGCCCGGAGTCGTCGCCTGACCCAGAAACGCTCTGCCGGGCGTCCCCAGGCTGTCGTCCCCTGCCGAGCGTCCGCAGCTCTTGCCGCAGACCAGCGCGGCCAGCCGGTCTCCGGTCCTGGTTTGAGGGGGGCGGGGGCTTCCCGCTGCAGTGTTGAGTCCCCCTCTTCCCTTCTCCTGAGAACACCGTGCCCCGGATTCGATGCTCGCCACCTCTGGAAGCAGAGACCTGGCACCCGGGCGAGGGGGAGGGGCCGGTCGGGGCATTTGGGCTGCTTGGATGTGGGAGCACGGGGTGACGGGCCGATTCTTTAGGATCAAATGCTGAGTTGGTGGAAGCTATGGAAGAACCTTCGGGTCGAGAGAGGCGTCCGACTGGAAAGAGGGCGAGAAGCCTGGGGGTTCGGTTGTCCCGGTTGTTTGCATAGGGAGGTGGGTTCTGTTGGTGCCAGAGTAGGAAGAGGGGTTCAATCGGCAAGAGGTTTAGGTTGGAGAGAGGGTGGGACTAGCTGCATATTCCGTTTGAGCCCTACTTGAGGAGGGGGTTCTGTTAAAATGAGAGTTGAAGAGGAGGATTCCATGAGCGAGAGGTTCCCCATCAGCTCAGGCGGCGGGAGGGTTTGCACTGAGACAGGATATCTGGAGTCTTTGGAAGAGGGGCGTTCCGACATAGGGAGGGGAGGGGTACACGGGAGCAAGGCTTGGCGGCAGGCTGGGTCCGCAAGAGAGTTCGGATGGGGAGGGCACCGTGGCCCTGGGTTCCGAGGGGCGTCGCTGGGCCATGGGCAATGACTGCGCGGGGCAATAGGACGCGAGGCTCATTCTCGCCGCCGCCCCCCAAGGCCGCGCGGCTGACGCGCTTTCTCCCTGCGCAGTGGTGATCGAGGATGACCGGATAGACGACGTGCTGAAAG